ATAGAGAATCACTATACCAATTCAGCAAGAGTGACTGAGCTAAAAAAAGAAAGGCACACACATGAAAAAAACAATATGAACAATGATAAAAGCCCACTTTAAACAGAGATTTTAAAAAGAACATGAATTGGTATGCTAACGTCCGCTTCAAGGCAAACCAGAGTAACAGGGAACAGGGCAAAAACATGAAGCAACAGTTTCCAGACATTAGACTGGACCACAGATCTTCTGATATGTGAAACAGAAGAAGCAAATTAGCCAACTCTATGACCGCTCCGTCTCTTACTGCTTAGAGTTTCAAGACTGCAGGCAAAGAAGGGAAATCCAGCTATAGCCATGAAGTATCTGAGTTGGGGAGAAAAAGTTGGGAGCCAGGGAGGACAAAAATAGAGTTCACAAGGTAGAGTACCAAATGTGACAAAACTACACAGATTGCTCCAGATTATCTGCAGAGAATTCCCCTTGAGTCTTCAGCTGAATACTGTTGACCACATGTGACTACTACCCAAGGCCTTCTAAAAAGAATCACCTGAAAGAACAAAGAGAAACAATTTTTGGAGCTCACAATGGTCAGAAATAACTTTAAGTTCCACCAGCCAAAGTGAAAAATCCCCTATAATTCATAGGGTGTCAGAGTACCTGGAATGGTGCTGACTCAGCAGTAAAATACATGTTGTTCTGTGTCTGCTTTAAAGTTCAAAAGCAAGCCTGTAAAGGATCACATTTTTTTTCCCCTGGTAACTTGTGTTAAAAAAAGAAATATGGGAAATTCAATATCCAAACATGCAAATGCATGCAAATGAAAAACACAAATAAAAAAAATCAATAAATAGAAACAGACCAAGAAATGACAGCAAGGCCATTCTAACAGCCATTATCATTACACTTGCTGTGTTCAAACCAGCAGAGGAAAACTTGAGTATGATTTTAAAAAATGGAAGATATAAGAGATCCAAATTGAATTTTTAAAGATTAAAATACATAATACACTATTGGAATTAAGAGATTAGACACAACAGAAGACAAGATTAGTGAAATTGAAGATGAAGCAATGAAAACTATATAAAATGAAAAATAACCAAAAATGAGCAAAGGATTAACAAGCTGTGTGACAACTTCAAGCAGACTAATATAAGTGGAATTGACATTGAAAAAATGTTCAAATAATTGCTATGTTTCCAAATTTGATGAAAACATGGATCCTAGGGTGCTCAGCTAAGTCCAAGAACAAGGATTGGTTTCTTTGAGGTGTAAAATATGCATTTAACAACTTTGTGTTACCCTCATGTAATTTAAAAAACATACTGTAGCACTGCACTCCCTACTGAGCACTTGAAATATGGCTAGTGTGACTGAGGTGAGCTTTTGCTTATGGTGATGGCAGCACATCTCTACGAATTTATTAGAAAATCATATTTTTATTGCCCAAAGAAGAAACTTTGTACCCAGTCACCTCCCATTTCCAATTTTCCCCAGTCCTAGATATTAATTTATTTCTGTTTCTATAGATTTGCCTATTCTGAACAAAATATATGGGATCTATATTCCATATATGGAATCTGGTTTCTTTTACTTAGCCTAATATTTTCAGTATTCACCCATGCCTTACCACATATCAGTATTTCATTTTATTACTGAGTTACATCCCATATTATGAATATAACATTTTATTTATCCATTGGCCAATTAACATTTGAGTTGTTTCTACATTTTGACTATCATGAATTGATCCCTTTATCAAATGACTCTCTTTATCTCCAGCAATAAATATTCTTTGCTCTGAAATGTACTTTGATATTAATATGGCCTCTCCAACTTACTTCTGATTTGTGATAGCATGGTATATCTTATTTCTGTCCTTTTACTTTTCACCAATTTGCTTCTTGAAAACATTTTCTTAGAGGCAAAAAATGGCCTTAGTTTTTTATTAAAACTGAAAACCTCAGCACTTAACTGGCATGCTTAAATTACTAGTAATTACTGTGATTATTGATATCACTGAGTTTGATCTATCTTGCTATTTGTTCCACCATTTGTTTTTTCTCTTTTTTTGTCTAGTTTTGTATTAGCTATTTTTTATAATTCTATTTTTTTCTCCTTTGTTGGTTTTAGAAAGTAAATTGATTTTTAACCAATAATAATAGCATCTGTTTTTGTGCTGTTAGGAAACAACAATCTTAAAAATGGAATGGACACATTTATATAAATGCAATTTTAAAATATTTTATTACTTTTTAATATAGTGCTGTAACATTTCATAATATTGCATACTGCTCAAAAGTTGTTTTAATTAATACAGTAAGAGTATTTTCTCTTCTTACTCCCCAGTCAGAATTTAAACATATACTATCCTTTTAGAGCTCTATTATATTGGCTCCTAAAATGTCACATTTCATAAAACAGTAATGCTATAAACTAAACTGAATAAACGTTTAAGAACAATTTGATTTCACAGTTTCACAAGCAGCCGGCAGATTGCTGAATTGAGAACAGCAACAAAAATTCACTAAGATTTTTAAATATTTATTTTTCCATAATGCTCCTTCTTAAAAGAAAAATATAAAGGCAAAGGTAATATATGCTTCTTTTAGTCCTTTATCCAATAAATCAACCTTTAACTGCAAATAGGTTTTACAAATGATATGTTAGTTCTGTGCCAGCAGAATTTATTACTTTTTTGCTTTCTTGTTCTGGTGTTACCAGTAAGTTGACCAAATGACACTATAATGTAAGGACACTACCATTTAAAACAACTTTTTGAAATAAGACATAGTAAAAAGACCACACCAGTGAGTCAAGTCCTTGTAAAACAAGCAAATTTGCATAGATTAAATAGGAGAAATTCAGATTCAGACAAAATAAAACACCAAATTTAATTAAATAAATGAAAAGGACTCTTTCAAGTATTTTCTTGATATTTGCATTAATGCAACATGCATTACTCTTTATAACACTTTTTTTTTTTTGGCATAGTTTCTCTTGGATTTAAATATAACAAATCTTAGAAAAGCAAGTTTAAAAAATGTATTTTTTTCCCTCCACAAGGGCCAGTGAAGACTAATGAAAACATATTTTGGAACATTTTATTTATTTTTTTCTTTCCTTTTCTTTTTTCCCATTTTTTTTTTTTTTTTTTTTTCCTTTCCTGGTCAGGGCTCTGCCTGATGGAGCATTTTAAATGGTATACTTGAAAAGAGTAGCTATATATTTTTTTAAAATTTTAATAACTAAGTATTTGTTAGTCTTGATCCAATAAACTCATAACAAGAATCCAGGCCAAAAGCTGGTCCCAACTGCTATATAGTGCTCTTTGCAATCAAATCTAAAATTAATTATCCAAATAAGATATTCATGGGAATAAATATGAATTTGTACTTAAATGCTTATGAAGTATAATCATAGTCCATACTTAGAGATACATTTTACTGGCAAAATTTAAGTTTTCTTTCATAGGTTATTCTGTGCGCATGCCTGAACACACACATATTTATTATTTTTCCTTAAGAACTATTTTGTTTGAAAATTTGGGCTTAGAAATTTATTATATTGACTACAGGGTCCTCAAAATAAAAGGAGGCACAGCTGGTTAGCTTATGAATTATGCTGCATTATCAATTTTAATTGACTAGAAAGAGTAGAATACCCTGTCACCTGAAACTTAGAACCATCTGCACCACAAAAATGTTTATCTGATAAATTCACCATCAATTTGGTAAGCTTTAATATAACTACCCTGTTTTCTGAATATAGATAATGTAAAAGAAAACCATTTTACACTCAACTTTATACCTTCCACTATGAAAAAAAAGGACACAGATACAATCTTCTACTTAACAATAATAAAAAAGGGCTGGCAGACGCAGTCAGCATTAGGGACACCATTTAAACCTATATCTTACAGCTGTAGGTTTTAAGTGTCTTGTCAAAAGCTTAGTTTCATGATAAATAATTTACAAATCGACACATTCTTTAAAAGTACTCCTATATGCATTTTCCTCTTGGAACATGCCTCTGATTTCCAGCAGAAACATTACAAATACTATCATAAATGAAATCTTTCTTTAAAGAATAGACCATGAATCATATCAAAATTGCCTTAGTTCTCATCTTAAAAGAGTTGTAAACTAAGTTTTAAATTAATATTCTAGGTATATAATTGGAAACGTAAATAGGCTACGTAGAACTATAAAAGACTGAGTTCGACAGTAGTTGAACTGTGAGATTAACACACAGATATATATGTATACATAAATATATATATATATATATAAAATTTTTCTATTGAAACCTTTCTTTTAAACTTTCAGTTTGAAGAGGTTTTTGCTGTTAAATCATAAAACATACATATTGACCAATCTGACATGAATGTAATCTATGATTCATAACAAGCAGCAGCATGATCCTCTGAGTATTACTAAAAGAAAAAAAGTCTATGATAGATTTGAACCATATTAAAGAATCTTTAGCAATTTTCATTATCATCATCATTTAGTATCCAATTTGTAAATGGATTTAATAAAATTTAACACATTTCTAATAACATTAGATTATTTTTTCAGGATAATTTTGTCATTCAAGTACCTAAACTTATTATTACATAGAAAATGAAACTTTTCAATTACTGCTCTGAAAAATCAGAGAAATAATTAAAGTTATTATTTTAGATATGTAGCACTACTTTAGATTCATGATGACATCTCTGTCATGATGCTATTTAAAACAATGAGTGAAACAATAAAACGCTATTTCAAAATGGTAGCATATTTGGTTGAAATACAAAATATACTAATATACATAACATTTATATGTTAAAAACACAAGTATTTAAACATTTATAAAGTAATCTTTTTAATGTGTTCAACATGAAGAACAGCTTCTCTCTTCACAATTGCCACATTTTAATGGATTATCAGTACAATATTTCTTCTATGTTTTATAAATAAATTTTATAGGTTTTCTGTTGCAATTTTTTTTGCAAAATATAACCTACAGCACAGTGATACATGTAATTTAAGGTAATAAATATTTTCACATTCTAATTTAGCATTTGCATTATTTCATGCTTCTGAAGCTTTTCTGTTTTTATTTCTGCTTCAAGATAGAGGTAGATTTAGTAGAGATTGGGTGTGTAAGACTTACTGCCAAAATGCAATTATCAATAGGTGTACTGCTAATGTGCAGTTTCCAAGAATGCTTGAAAAAATTCAGAATTACTAAGTAATACTTTACCTAAGTTCTCCTTTTCAAGCTTAAATTACTAAATAGTTGCATATTCAATTATTCACAAATAGATACAAAAATCCAAACAATGGAGATATAAATACAGGTACAACAACAACCAAACTAATACAACATCAAACTACAATGAAAGGTTGCATCTGAATGGAAATTTTTGCTTCATTTTGCTTTCTAAAAGTGCGTCAAATTCTCTTTTCTGTTCTATGTAAAAAAGCAAAAGTTCTTACTGACACTGGCAACAAAGAGGAGTTACCTGAAGCTACCCTTTTTAGCCATAAATTTTTTTTTCCTCCACCAAGTTAAAGTTGAAATCCATCCATTGGAGCTTCCTGCTGCTGAAATATAAACTGTTGTTGGTTTTCATCCACCTGAGGTACAATGCTGGGGTCATCTTCTTCTACACCAAAGTAATGTTCAATCAGATCAAATGCCTTCTGGTAAATTTCCTGATTTTCGTGGCTTTGCAAAAACTCAATTTTATCCAGACCTATTATATAATGCATATATTAAAAACAAACTGTTACTACAATTTTAGTGTACGTTTAAATCAAAATAATAAGTGAACATCATCTACCACCTTATTGGCAATGGAACTTCTATTTTAATCTAATTTTTGCACATATCAATAGCCATCACTTATGATTTATACTTCAAGAATGAGAGTATGTGGCAGTGTGAGATGAAGATGGACCATAGGCCTGGGAGTAAGAAGATCACAGACACCACCCTGCTAGGTATATGATCTTGGCCAAGAAAGTTCAGTTCTTCTGTACTTTAGTTTCTCAACTGTAAAATGGCAGTTTCAGATTAAGTAACTCCACAGGTCCTTTCCAGAGTAATTAACAAAGCACAAAAAGGGAAAGCAACAAAACAAGTGAAGAAACCAAAACATGCTGAGCCAGAGAGTATCAGTATGAAATAAATGTGTAAAATTTGCAAACCCAGACAATAAAAAACATATGGCTGCTGTATGATTTAATAGAATTACAATCTGCAAGTGAAACTGAAAGGCCTCATTTTGAAAGGATGAGGAGAATCTATAGCAACCGATTTTATCGCTTATAAGAAAAAGCTCTACACATAAGTCTGGGTAGTGCTGAAGATATATTTCATTTAATTATAGATAAATTACTTCAATCAGATTATCACAGAATAAAAAAAGGAGCAAAGCAGTCATATGTATGTACAATAACAGAACAGCCCAAACCCTAGTCTAATTTGGGGCCAAAATAATGACCATAGTAAGACAATATTCTTAAATCACTGACTAATACGTTGTATTCACATAATGCCTTAGCCAGAGATGTTATATAATTTGAAAGAAAAGCAAAGTGGTGTCATGGCCATTCAGAATCATAAAGAAAAGTCTGAATCAGCCATACAATGTAAGAGGACTTACTACAGAAAAGTGAATATTTAATGCAAATAAAAGAAAATAATCAATTTAGATTCATGTTTTATCTGAAATAAATTCCAGATGATCAAGTTAAATGTTTTAAGAACCTAATTTTTTAAACTTGGCAAATAAATTAATTTCCATATCTACATATGAAATCTCTATAAGAGATTTTAAAAATCTCTATAAGGGATTAAATCTCTGTAAGAGAATGACTTCGTAAACTTCAAAAGAACAGAAAATTAGACTGAGTTATTTATGTTAAATACCAACGAACATGGTTTCTTTTGTTAAAATAAAAACATATTCAATGAATGATCTGAAAATAATAAAAAAATAGACTAAGGGAAAAGTGATATCAAAATAAACTACTATAAAATAAAATTCAAATTTTTACCAAAAAAAAAAGAGTCAAATAGATAACCAAAATAATATAAATATGCAACTTGGATGAGGAAATAGACTAACTCCTGAAAAATACATACTACTGGTCAGGCACGGTGCCTCATGCCTGTAATCCCAACACTTTGGGAGGCTGAGGCAGGGGGATCACAAGGTCAGGAGTTCGACACCAGCCTGACCAACATTGTGAAACCCTCATCTCTACTAAAAATACAAAATTAGCTAGGCGTGGTGGCACATGCCTATAATCCCAGCTACTCGGGAGGCTGAGGCAAAAGAATCACTTGAACTCAGGAGGTGGAGGTTGCAGCGAGCTAAGACTGTGCCATTGCAGTCTAGCCTGGGCAACAAGAGTGAAACTCCATCTCAAATTTAAAAAAAAGAAAAAGAGAAAGAAAAGTACTACTGTCTATAGGAAATAAACCAAAAAATGTACATAAAAGCAACTTGTACTATTTTACATCTGCTGAGTCAGCAAAATCAACAAAACAAGTATGAGGTGGGAGAACAGATTCATACAATGCCACTGACACTGTCAGCAACAGGCCCTGAGAAAGCAAAATGAGAAGACATATCAAAAACTTAAAAAGAAGTCTGTGCCTAAGACTCAGCAACTGTATTCCTGAAAATTTATCCCCAGATATTAATTCCATGGAAGAAATAAATATTTTGGTATACATAAAGTGATAAATTGGGAACCACCCAATGGTCAACAACAGGTTATGGTTAAACCTGCATTCGAATGGCTAAAACCTCACTCATTATATAACATTATGGCCAGGCACGGTGGCTCATGTCTGTAAGCCCAGCACTTTGGGAGGCTGAGGCAGGTGGATCACTTGAGGCCAGGCACTCGAGACCAGTCTGGCCAACATGGTGAAACCCCATCTCTACTAAAAACAAAAATTAGCCGGGCATGGTTGTGTGCACCTGTAATCCTAGCTACTTGGGTGGCTGAGGCACATGAACTGCTTATACCCGGGAGGCGGAGGTTTCAGTGAGCCGAGATAGCACCACTGCTCTCTAGCCTGGGAGACAGAGTAAAACTGTGTTCTCAAGAAAAAAAAGCATATGTATGTTATATATACATGTAAACATGTATATATTTTTATATATGCATATATTTATATATGTAAATATGTATATAGTTTGTGTAAATATGTATTTATATATGTAAATATGTATTTATGTATATAATATAAACAGGTTTGCATGTATAAATGCATAATTACATATAATATGTGCATATTCACACATATATACATATTTACATGTATAATAAATATATACGTATTTACATGTATTACATGTAAATATATACATATAAATGTGTGTATATGTTAATATGTATATATTTACATATATAATATATATGTAAATATGTATGTATTTATATGTAAATTGTGTGTGTGTGTATATATATATATATATATACACACACATATATATATATATATAAACATTACTTGGCCATTATAGTAAATATTATGCAGAAATGTAAAATTTCTCCAAAATGTTAAAAAGTAGAATATAAAACTATACATACAATACAATTAAGTCAACGTAAAGTAATTGTGCATAAAGACAATGTAAAAGGTACAGTAAATAATAAAAATAAATTGTTAGGGTAATAAAATTACAGGTGACATTTTAAAAACTTAAAAAAATTATAGTGCTTTTACAACAAAAAATTTGTAGGGAACTAGAAGGGGAAAGTATCTAAGACAGACAGTTAAGAACTGTCAATAATTATAAATTTTTAACTGATTACTTACCATATGCTTCTTCAATGAGAGCACAGTATGGATTAATGCCTATTCCGTTCTGCTTAGATTCTTGTTCTCCAAGACGTAAAATATTTTCAAGTCCATTTAAAGCCACTTGGACTATTTTGGAGTCCATAACAGTCAAAAGATCACAAAGTGGTTTAATGCAGCCTAAGGCTACCAAATACCTTCACATTAATTTAAAAAAGAAAAAAAAGGGGGAGAAAAGATTTAAGAAGATTTAAGTACCATTTCTGGCAATGACACAAAAATATTCTTCATAGTGAATTGTTGTATACGCAATTAGGAAAAAGTATTCCTATACAAACACAAACATTAGACACATTTAAATTCTCACGCAGGAAAATGAAAACTTTCTTTACTCACCTATTCTCTAATTTAATATAATTAGCAATAAATGGTCTTGCAAATACTATAAAATACCCACACAGACTTGTACTTGTGCTCGTTTTTCATGGCAGATAATCACTAAGCATAGGTTCAAAGGATTTTTACATTATTTTTAAGGCAAGCCTACATACACACATACACAGGTCATATGGGGGTAGGCAGAAATGAAAAGAAGAGACATCTAAATTAAACTTGAGAAAATTTCCTATAAAAACAATCACAGCTAATGCTCTGAAACATATGCTGTGTTTTAGAAGCACAGAAGGCCTCTAGGAACAAAGCAGTCTATCTTGTGAATAATTTTCATAAATAATATGCACAAAAAATCCATTAATTTCCTAATGCGTGTCCTTTTCTTGTTATTGGCTAGTTTTTTATACTCTATAATGTAAATGAAGTAACTGATTTGATCACTTGGCAAAAAGTCTTATTAAGTAGAAAGGTTAAAAACATAATATGAAGCCGGACTATGTGCCTTCAGGTCCCAATTCCACTCCTTATTAGTTGTGTGACCTTGAGCAATTACTCTTTTGTGTTTCAGTTTCCCCATCTTAAAATGGGAATATTAGTACCAACCTCAGAGAGTTGTTGTGAGAACACAATAGACATTTAATAAAAGTTTCTATCCCTCTAAAAAAAATGTATATACCTTCACTGCAGCACTCATTTGCCCTACACTATACTGTAATTGATCAAAAATATCTGTCAAATGAATAACTACCTCACAGTTATGAGATTAAAGGAGATAAAATACATGAAAATACCTAATACATTGCTGGTGCTCAATACTGAAATGTTTTACTTAGCACAGTAACTGGCAATAGTAGGCACTCAACTAGTAGTATGCACACAGAACTTAATCTGATATCAAGAGGTCTTTTCCCATATATTTAGACTCAATGAAATGATTAAAATGGCTAGAAAAATAATTATATCAGTTTGGCACTTGATCCATACTGATAAATTAAAGGAATAACATACAGAATAGATATAACCATGAAAATTAACTGAAAAAATACAACTATTTGCAGGCAAACAAACATGCAGTCTAAATAAAAATAAAATCAGCATTAAAAAAATAAAAAATAGAACAAAGGAAGGGTCTTGATTTATTACTGCTTGTATCCATGACACAAAATGAAAATACTGATTAAAGCAAAAAGAGAGTAGAATAGAAAATAAAAGGCAGAGACAGATGTTACTAATATACAGCGATACAAATTTGAGGAGAGCAAGGTAATACTACAAATGAAGGCAATAAAAGACAATTATTTCATAATAAATTTCACTACAAAATAGCATTGTAATTTGACTTGTTTTATAAATTGAAAAATAAATTAAATATGCATTAGAAAATATTTTCTAAGAAGTCTAGTTCCATGGAGGGATTCTCCAAACAAGACGATTCTGTAATAGTAAGGCTTTTAATAGAGGTATAAGTGAAATTTTGCTACGAAAAATAAAAAAGAGTGAAAGTACATGATAAAAAGAGATTCAGATATCAATACTATAGTACAAATTAGGACGATTACAAATAATGATAACAATAGCTATTCTTAGTTATTATCTATTAGCTAATAATAATGTTTAGGCACTGTACTGACACTTCAAAGATACAAATTTCACTTAAATATCAAGATACAGTCCCTTGATTTCATCGAAGACTGGTTCCAGGACACCCTCCCTCTGCATACCAAAATCCACAGATGCTCAATTCCTTTATATAAAATAGCATAGTATTTGCATACAACCTATACATATCTTTCCTTATATTTGAAATCATCTTTAGATTATTTATAATAGCTAACACACTGTAACTGCTGTGTTAATAATTGTTATATTGTGTTTTAAAATTTGTACTATTTTTGCATTGTTGTACTGTCATTTTTTACTGTGTTTTTCTTTTTTAATATTTTTGACCTGCAGTTGGTTGAATCCACAGATGCAAAATCTGAGGATATGGAAGGCTGACTGCACTACCATTACTATTCGTTACTGGAACTCATTTTTATATATGAAGAAACTAGATTAGAAGGGTTAAATGACTTTGTCAAGACCACACAACTTTTACTGAAGGAGCAGGATTTGAAATCAGGCTAACATAAAAGCCCATGCACCTATTATTTATGCTGTCAGCAGAATAAATAAATTTAAAAAGCCTAGACTCAAAAAGCTAATATATGTATGTATATATATACATATATATATATATTTTTTTAAAAGGTAACATTATACCTTTTATATGTATATAAAAAGCTAATATATGTATATATATATATATATATATTTTTTTTTTTTTTAAAAGGTAACCAGTATAGAAAAATAAAAGATACCATCCATAGGCAAGGCTAACGATCAATGAGGAGCAGATCATCATGTAAACAAATGTCTATTTCAATTTTATTTAAAGTAAGTGGATATTCAAATTTATTAGCCATTTTTATATAATAAAGCTATATTGTTATGATTTTAATGGTTTAAAAAAAAATTTAATGCCCATGATAGTGTACTCTGCAAATTAACATAGACTGTTCCTGTTCAGATTTTTAATCTCTCATTTTTCATAAGTAGCCTATCAAGGAGAATGATGTTAATTAAAATGAAAAAAAAAAATTGTGAATGAATAATTGATATAATACATGCTATCATTTCAGATTAAAAATGCTTATCAAACTGACTTAGAAATAATATTTTAGTTTCATCAGTAAATAAAAGTATGTTTTATTTCAACTTTTGTCTCATTTACATTTAAAAAACAATTAAAAAGTTTATATCATACCTTATTTGCTCTGGAGTACCTCCTGACGTTGCATTAGTTATAGCCCAAGCTGCTTCTTTTCTGGTACGAAACTCTGCTTTCTGAAGAATCTCAATCAAAACCGGAAAAATATTTGCATCTATAACAGCCTGGGGGGGGGGGAAATATATAATCACTACAAATACTGTTTCTAAAATACTACCAGTAAAAATATCTTGAAACCCAATAGCTTCAAAATTTCAGGGTTTTTGGAAATACCTTTCCAAATATTTTTTATTCCTAGACTGTCATCAAACTTTCAAATATTTTTTCTTTTTACGTAGGAAATTAGTTTATCGAAGACTGGAGAATAGGAAAATATAAATTTTAGAGATCATAAAGCACAAGGTATGCAACTGATTAAAATGGATAAACAGTCACTGACCTAAGAAGCTTGATAGGACCCTAATAAATCATTAAAAGCTTTAAGAGGAAGATTATTGCTTATTTTAAACTAATGCAAAAAAAAATCTTTATAAAGACAGACCATTAAGTATCAGGCATTGTGCTAGGCATGCACACACGCGTGCACACAGACACACACACTCACACTTGCCGTTCTTCACTAAAATACTACAAGTAAATGTTATTATTTTAGAGGAGGAAAGGCCATGTTCTTTAAAATACTTTTTAGGTACCTTTTTAAAAAAGAATCTTTTTTAGAAACTCACTAAAAAACATTGATAAACTTTTGTCCAAACTGGCTTCTTAGACCTTGCTGTTCTGCTCCCAGATCTGAAGAGTATTTACCTGAATCTGAGCTCTATTTCCAGCAGTGATGTTAGAAACAGTCCAGCAGGCTTCTTTTCTAATTGACTCCTTTGGGCTACTCAATAAATGTAAGAGACAGGGTAATGCAGAACAATTCAAAATTACCTAAAACAAATTAGAAATGGAAACAAAAAGTTTTATAGTAAATAATCTACATGAAAATCTACTAATCAATTATTTAGATGTACAAAAACAATTCTAGTAAATAAAATTAAGGAGAAATTCCTCCCAAAGTAAAACTTGCTGTCTTCTATACTTCTGTTATTGATAAACCTAGTATCGTGCCACTATAAAGAAGTGCCCTGTTCTCAACCCAATAAAATGAAAATCAGAGGTGTGTCCTTCAAATTTACAAATGTTTCTGGAGTTCAACTGATAAAACTTTGAAAAAAGATTTGGTGATTGGAGTTAGAATCCAACCTCTAGTTTTGCCAAATGAATTGGTGAAAATAAAAATATATATCATACAGTCTATCTAATACTGGAACCATTAAAAAACATTAGCATGTAGAATCAGTTGGCTTCATAAAAAATTTTACTATCTCACTCTTCTGTAAACAAGTATATTCTGCATTGTCCCTTTACATTCTTTATTCTATTGCAAGATTAATTATGTTCCTATATTCCAAATATTCCAATGATTTACTTTAGATTCATCTGGGTGAAGAAGTATGGAGCAGTGCACTGGAAATTCAACTGAAAATTACAGTGCATGTCTAGAATGGCATTTTCATTTAAAGAGCTATATTAAATGAATAACTTGTCAATTACTAAAGAGCAACTGTTTAATAACTTTGATTAGTATCTAAATAGGCCTTTAAAAGGATAAAAAGGAAAGAAAATATGTAGGTTAGAATAAAAAATATATCGTAAGGTGGTAAACAAAGGAGAATCTAATATGTTAAAGAATTTAAGTTTCTATCTTCAAGAAAGATTGTGCTGGGTATAGTGGCTCATGCCTATAATTCTAACACTTTGGGAGGCCGAAGCAGGAGAACTGCTTGAGCTCAGGAATTTGAGACCAACTTGGGCAACATAGCAAGACCCTGTCCCTAAAAAAAATTTTTTTAATTAGCCAGGTGTGGTCTTGCACACCTGTGGTCCCAACTACTTGGAAGGCTGAGGTGGGAGGACTGCCTGAGAGGGAGAGGTAGAGGCTGAAGTGAGCCATGATCGCACCACTGCACTCCAGCCTAGGGGAAAGGGCAAGACCCTGTCTCTAACTAACTAAACTAACTAACTAGCTAAATAAATTAATTCAAAGATTGTAACCCCAATCTGGCTAGAGTCAATCTTGATGACACATCTTCTTTGACATTTCACCATCCTCCAAGATACAGACACAGACACACACACAATTGTGGTGATGCTAAAGTCTTGATTAATATGCAATCAAGTCATATGAAACATAAATTTTTTAAAGTCCATTATATCAACAATTTATGATACTTAAGTTTGAACTCACCTGTGTTTGAATATCATCACCAGTCACAATATTACCAACTGCCCTTAATGCAGGTGATACAACTTTATAATCATTGTGCCTAAAAATAATAAAAACATGAACCTAAATACTAGTAAGAATTTAAAATTTACACAAAAGTTACAAAAATAGTACAAACTCCTGCAGTTTTCAGCCAAAGATCCCACTGAAGTTTTACTAATTATTTTGATAATCTTTATAACAAAGGATCTAATCCAGCATTATTCATTACAGCCAGATTTCATGTCTTTCCAGAGTTTCTCAGTTTTCTCTTGATTTTCATGATTTTGCCATTTTTGAAGATCATACGCCCGTTATTTGGGTTTATCCAATGTTTTTCATGATTAAGATCCAGGTTTTGGCTGGGGATATCATAAGTACTAAAATCTTTTCATTATATCCCAATCTGTTTTTTCCCATTATAATGGTACTGAACTCTGGTCACTAATTATGATGATGTCTGCCAGACTTTTCCACTATACCATTACTGTTTTCCCCTTTATAATATAATTAATATTTTGCAACAAAATACTTGAGATAATGCAAAATCTCGCTCCTTAACCTACTTTTACCACTAGGTTTTAGCATCTCTTGATGCTTATTGTCTGAAATGTTGGTAATTATTAATATTATTATCAATGATCTATTTCTAATACTATCATTCCAACTACATGCTTTAATGTGGACTTACGGATTTCATATCTTATTCAATAAAATATATGTTAATATAATTTATTTCAAAGCTCAAATTGTCCCAGGTTTGAATAGTGAGAATCCCTTCAAACAGGCTTCTGTGTCCTTTTGACATTTCTCCATTACTTGAGCACCCATTAATTCCTGCATTCATTCTTAAATTTTCAGTTCTATCCCTGAAATCAGTCATTTATCCAAGAATCCTGGTTCCTTTCAATGGAGAGTGGGATTTAGAAACTTAGATTTGAACATTCAGTTTCCTCAGCTTATTAATGTATAAGTGTTACTGCTCCCAGACCCTTTAAGAGGACACACATACACACACACATATATATTTATTTCTATACCTAGCTATGATAAGAGCCATGAGTTCACACTGATATTTCTAGTTCTAATCCAAAATCATTGAATTATTAAGGTTTTCTCCTCTTTCATATTTTTATCTCCATTCTCTGATAACAGGAAATAGCTTCTATTTTCCTAACCTCCCTATATCAGCCAATCTTTTACCTCAGCTAGACTGCCACCCTATGATGTGCTGGCTCCAAGCCCTGTTCTAGCCTGCTTATCTGCTCACCCCAGCTGGGTGCCATTATCAAGTTTGGGCCCTCATCCCCACACTGACCCTGCATGCCTACCCTCCTTTGATGCTATCCTCATGCTGGGATCCCAACTTCTTATCAGATCTCTCTTTACGCCATCTACCTTGTTTGGGCCTACCGAATGACTTTTTGACAAAAGAAAGGAAGGAAGATAATATATTTTTAAAAAGAAGGTAAGAAGACGATGTTACAACATCTTTTTAAAACATGCTTTCTTCAGCCAGGCACAATGGCTCATGCCTGTAATCCCAGCACTTTGGGAGGCCGAGGCGGGTGGATCACAAGGTCAAGAGATGAAGACCATCCTGGCCAACATGGTAAAACCCCGTCTCTACTAAAATACAAAAATCAGCAGGGCGTGGTGGTACATGCCTATAAACCCAGCTACTTGGGAGGCTGAGGCAGGAGAATTGCTTGAACCCAGGAGGTGGAGGTTGCAGTGAGCCGAGATCATGCCACTTCACTCTAGCCTGGCACCTAGTGACAGAGCAAGTCTCTGTCTCAAAAAAAAAAAATAAAAAAGTTTTCTTAAACATTTTTAACTTCTTTGTACAGAAAAGTTGTTCTTCTTAAGGAAAATAGTTATAACAGCCCAGCGAAGAGAAACATGTTATCTTTAATAGAAGTAAAACACTAAATGATTTTCACTATATGGACTTTTACTCAAATTAAATATTACAAAGAATAATAAACTAGATTACTCATTCTGTGAAAGCAGAAACTGTTCTACACTTCATTAACAATGTCTCACACAACACCTTAGCAGATAACAGACATTTCATAAAACTACAGGACATAAGTTATAAGTTTTAGGGTCAACTTTCTAGGATTATGGGTATTCTGTTAAGTGTAGGGTCATTAACTTTTTAATTTTCCCCGAAGATAGTGACTCCTGAGATATTTACAAAGCTATTACTTTAATTGCTAAACTTAATCCCAATTATACAATTAGTAAGCATAAATTATTTATAGTTACATCAAAAGTTCCACCAATCTTCGACAGACTCCAGAATCAATCACTGCTTGAATTTTATCATTGGGTCCATCAGAGAGATAAGAAAGGGCCCAACACACATCTGCTAACACATCTGGGTCACTGCTAAACAACAATCGTGACAGGACATTTAAGCAAGGTGAAACCTATAAGGAAAGAAAGAGCATATTTAAATTTGGTCTCTATTTAAAACCAAGTTTCCTTAGAAAAATATAGAAATTCATTTTAAAACAAAAATTTAATGTTATAAAAATACCAGAAAATGTATATTGTTTTAAAATTACAATCAAATATATGAACATGAAGCTGATTTTGATTACTATTAATCTTTAATTGAATGAGCTATATGGTAAAATTTGTTTTAAAAAATAGTAAAATATTTGGGATCTCATCTGTGTCTAAATCACACACCCCCATATGACAACAAGCACACCAAAATGAGCAGTTCAAATGTTTCAGTTAAGTGTTTGATGCGATGATCACTGAATATAATTTAACTTTAATGAGCTTCACTATATTCATTATATGTACTTAACTGGAAATAAATCTAATAATCATTTGAGAAATTAAGGTACAAAAAGTATAAAAATAAATATATCTATAAAGGGTAGTCAAGTGGAAGTCATTAATAAACTATTACACTGATAAGAATGCATGTGGCAGCTAAGAACAGTGCCTGACATACATTAGGCACTCAAATGTTGTTTTGTTTTGTTTTTTTATTCTCATGATCACTATTGATGCTATGTTCCTTAAAGTTGTTTTGTAAAATCAGCAACCTGGCCTGGTGTGGTGGATCACACCTGTAATCCCAACACTTTGGGAGGCCAGCACTGGTGGATCACAAGGTCAGGAGATAGAGACCATCTGGCTAACATGGTGAAATCCTGTCTCTACTAAAAGTACAAAAAAATTAGCCAGGTGTGATGGTGGGCACCTGTAATCCAGCTACTCAAGAGGCTGAGACAGGAGAACTGCTTGAACCCATTAGGTAGAGGTTGCAGTGGGCTGAGATCATGCCACTGCACTCCAGCCTGGGCGACAGAGTGAGACACCGTCTCAAAAAGAAAAAAAAAGAAAGAAATCAGTAACATAACATATCCCTTAGTCTCTCTCCTCAGTTAAGAACTATAGTTGTATGTTACGAATCTCACAAATAAAATGTGATGACATTTTTCTTAAATGTTCTAATATTTTGGATAAGTTTTCCTTTACCTCTATTTAAAGATTATCAGCATGTAAACTATCATCTTCTGAACGTAGTTACCATCTCTGCTGGGTCTGTCCTCTAAAGATGACCTTAAGACTCAGGTACACAAATCAGTTTACAAAATAGATATGTCCATCCGTTAAGTTAGCAAATAAAAACAGCACAACTGGATCCTTCCCCACTGATCATGCTTTCACCCTTGCCAGTCACCTCTTCTTTGAACAGAGAAATCAGGTTTTGGTATTTTATATTTTATTATTTTATTTTATTTATTTTATTGAGACAGGGTCTTACTCTGCTGCCCAGGCTGTAACTACAACCTCTGCTTCCTGGCCTCAAGCAATCCTCCAGCCTCTGCCTTCTGAGTAGCTGGGATTATAGGAGTGAGTCACCATTCCCAGCTAATTTTTGTATTTTTGTAGAGACAGGGTTTCACCATGTCACCATGTTGCCTAGGCTGGTCTGGAACTCCTGTGCTCAAAGCAATCTGCCCACCTCAACCTCCCAAAGTGCTAGGATAACAGGCACAAGCCACTATGTCGAGCCAAGTATCAGTTTTTCAAAGCAAATTTAAAGTGTGTTTTTAAAAAAAATCAATTTGGCTCACATATGCCTTTTTACTGAGTTAAAAAAAAAAGTGAACTACTACATATTTCTAGAATTAAGTGAGCAAAGTAAAAATACTCTACCCCAGTGTCTTCTCAGGAAAAAAGAAAAAGAAACAGAAATACAAATTCCAACTTTGAAGAGGCCAGTAGACATTAATAATCCTGTCCACAATATACAAAGACAAAAAGTGAATAAAGAAACTGAACCAACTTAGAAGAGGAGAGAAAAATGGAACGTTAATCCCAAGAGAGGGAGCTACCAATAAGAGGGAAGCTAATTTATCTCTTCACTATCACCCCCAAATGTCTTAGAAATCAGAGGCACTAGGTATCACAGATGGCAGGGAAAATGGTGCTAAAATAGAGGAAGATATTAAAAATCTGAGTGAGAAGCAGGTTAGACTCTGGGTCCCTATTACAAAGGTAGGTGACTAGCATTCTCAATGCTACCAAAGACTGGAAGTTTATTTGAAGGAGAAACCAGACAATAAAATGTGAATCACAGAAACTGAACTTTGGGATATAAAGCACAGTGGAGGCTGAAATGAAGCACTGGACCGGAAAGTAAGAGATAAGTTTAAGTCTACATACTGACTAGTGAAAACCTCTAGCTCTCTTCCAACACCCAGTTCCCAGATGTTTATTATTACTATGTTTTATTTTTGAGACAGAGTCTTGCTCTGCTGCCCAAGCTCAGGGTACAATGGCATGATCACATCTCACTGCTGTCTCAACCTCCCAGGCTCAAGCAATCCCCCCATCTCGGCCTCCTGAGTAGCTGCGAGTACAGGCGTGCGCTATCACACTTAAGCTAATTTTTTATTTTATTTTTTTGTAGAGAAAGGCTCTTACAATGTTGCCCAGGCAGGCCTTGAACCCCTGAGCTCAAACAATCCTCCCACCGGAGCCTCTCAAAGTGCTGGGATTATACCATGAGACACAGTACTCAGCTGCCAGATATTTAGAAGCCAGGTATGTTACCTATTCTACACCTCAACCCAATCTACCCATCTTCCGGCAAAAGAATGGAAAATCTGTCTCCGAAAAAAACTGAACAGACTCAGAAAAGAGACTGAAATTTCGTGTTCTCAAAGAAAATATGGTTTTGCTGCCCTATTATCCTACAATGAAGTCCACAAGATGACAAGCCCACTTAACGCCCATCTTCCAATCAGCTTTTTAGTGTCTTCTTCCGAAAATTGTTCAAAGATCACCACATAAATGAAGACAGCCTCCAACATTAAAGTGATTAAAACAAACAGACCACTAAAAAAAAAAAAAAAAGTTCAAAGAAACAGACACACACACACACACACACACACACACACACACACACACACCACTATAAATCCTTAGATATGACAATTTGCTGGGTCCATAAAAGAATAGAATTCTTCATAAAGATGAGCAACCAGAGAGCAATAAAACTACTGAAAAGATAAAATATGATTGTAGAAATGGAAATTTCTGGCTGGGCGTGGTGGCTCACGCCTGTAATCCCAACACTTTGGAAGGCTGAAGTAGGCAGATCACCTGAAGTCAGGAGTTCAAGACCAGCCTGGCCAACACGATGAAACTCTGACTCAAAAATTAATCAGGTGTGGTGGTGGGTGTCTGTAATCCCAGCTATTCAGGAGGCTGAGGCAGGAGCATTGCTTGAACCTGGAGGCAGAGGCTGCAGTGAGCTGAGATCACATCAGTGCACTCTAGCCTCGGTGACACAGCGAAACTCCGTCTCAAAAAAAAGAAAAAAAAATTCTTTTAAGTTATTAAAAAAAATCTCTCACACAAAATCACAGAAAATTTACTTAACAAATAAGTCTTAAACCCTAAAATGTAATATTATTTTGTAAGTTTGGAATACATAAGTAAACAAGAGACAGTTTTCTACCCTTACAGAGTTTGCATTTTAGTGGAACACTTTTAAAAATTAAAATACATAAATAAGAAAACACATATATTATGTTAAAAAGGTGATTTGAAAAACTTAAGAGTAAAAATGAGGAAAGTCAGGTATACTCATGGGCTGACGGTAGTTGTTACAGTACGTAGACAGGCTTGAGCAGGGCTCCAAAGGGCTGCTTCTCCTCCCACTAGGAATGTCAGGTGATGGTTTGACAATTATCACATTGCCTCTTTAAAAGTAATAAACTGGCACCCAGTGCCAGGAAGAGACCATTTCCTGGTGATCCTCACCTGCTGCACTAAAGTGTTAAGTGAATACAGGCACCAGGGAGATGCAACCTCTCAGGCATGTGTATTAAGAGACAAACTGGTGGAGTATGACTTTCCAGGGGTGGTATGGCATGATACAGGAAAAGGGAAGAAAGCCTCAGATGGGCATGCATACAACTTCCTAAACACACTGCGCATGTGCACCTCCCAAGGGTAAGGAGGGCCATTGTGCATGGAGGCAGCACACCCTAAGGGAAGAATCATGGGAAAAGAGCCAGTCTATAAAGTCCTAGGATCAAGGTTAAATAGGGCATTTGACCTTGGTGCCTGCTTGGGTCCCTTTCCAAGCTCCTTTCTTTCCTGTTCTAAAGGCTTTTAAATAAACTTCCACTCCTGCTCTGAAACTTGCCTTGGTCTCTTTTACTACCTAATGCCCTCAGTCAAATTCTTACTTCTGAGAAGGCAAGAACTGAGGTTGCTGCAGTAACCTGGATACCTTTCACTGGTACCACAGTGACAGATTACATTATTAAAACAGTAGCCGGGCGCGGTGGCTCAAGCCTGTAATCCCAGCACTTTGGGAGGTTGAGGTGGGCGGATCACAAGGTCAAGAGATCGAGACCACCCTGGTCAACATGGCGAAACCCCGTCTCTACTAAAAAATACAAAAAATTAGCTGGGCATGGTGGCACGTGCCTGTAATCCCAGCTACTCAGGAGGCTGAGGCAGGAGAATTGCCTGAACCCAGGAGGCGAAGGTTGCGGTGAGCCGAGATCGCGCCATTGCACTCCAGCCTGGGTAACAAGAGTGAAACTCTGTCTCAAAAAAAAAAAAAAAAAAAAAAAAAAAAAAAAAAAAAAAAAAAACAGTGGTCATGGCAGAGCTCATAGAAAATGTAACTTCTGAGCAAACAAAGAAGATGAAGGGAATAGGTCAAGCAGCTACCTACAAGGAGAGTGCTGTAAGATAGCGGTTGTCAAAGTGTGGTCCTTGGACCCCTAGAGGATTCCTAAAACCCTTTTGGGTGTATATGTGATGACAAAACTATTTTCATAATAATACTAAGACATCATTGGTCTTTTTCATTTTGTTGACATTTGCACTAAAGGTACAAAACACTGGTAGGTAAAAGTGTTAGCATGTTAGCACAAAT